GTATTGTTTTTATTGCTCCAATATACGAATATTGGCTCTTAATTGCTTTGAATGACAAAGCTTACTTCTGTTATTAAAGCGGTCTAAGTCCCTAATTAATTGTCATTGGGTTTATTAATTGTAATCAGCTTCACTGAGGAAGATATCATTCTGCATAGGTAGCTCATTCTTACTTAGTATAAAGATTTTATGATGAAAATTTTTTTCTTTTGCTCAACTGAATCCATAGCATAAAGATTTCATGGTGAAAAATGTTTTTCTTTTGCTCAACTGAATCCATAAGAGTATTATGAAGAAAATGATTACGATGGGATGATTTGGGAGATTATGGCCTGTGCATGTGAGAATATACAGCATAACAGAAATACTCTGACCCAAACCAGTAAATTGATGCTATATTACCATCTTATCGCCAATATCTACGTATTTTAAAGAAAAATAGCTCTGGTTTGATTAGTCTACTTTGGTGGATAATAACCACGTTACGATTTTATCAAGGTTCTCTTTCGGAGTTTAAAAAGAAAATTAAATATCTTATTAGTTTGAAACATTTCATTGCTTTTTGATGAAGATCAAAGAGACAGACATTAAATGTTTAAGCAACAATTTCCTTGCTAAGAAAGCTGCGGGCAAATTCTTTAAAGATTTATGTAACCGCCCATGGAAAAATTCTCTATTGGTTGAAAACCAGCGAAATGATTTCACAGCGGATTATAAACCTTGCATCCATAAAAAAATAGGCGGTGTAAAATAAATGCGTGTGCCATAAGGTGATCGCCTCGACCAAAATCAAAATTTAAATATGGATTTTTCTCACAACAGGATATGAATAAAATCAAAATTCAGGTTAGTTTGATGCACTCTTCATGTAATGAAATAATCAATTTAAAAAGAATGAAATTAAGCGTCTTGATTTTCTCTGCAGATATTGGTTGCAATTGTCTCTGGTATCATACAGGTTCGAGTAGCACCAGAGACCAAAGGTAAATAGCTGTCTGTTATTTTTTCCTTCTTTTTCATCTGTATATTCAATCAAATGAGTCCCCTGAAACTGTAGAGTATCAACTACAAAATTTGGTATTCAGGCCAGCACGTATTTTATACCTTTACAAGGGAAACAGAAATTGACGTCGGCAAAAGGAATCAAGTTTTATGGCTGATTCCGAAGTACCTATTAAAATTACCAATTACAATAACTGCATTTTCCTTAAAATAGAATACCTTACCTCCTATTACCACGAGGTTACAATGAAGGGAGATCAGCTGCTAGTCGTGATTAGGCCTTAATTTAAATGAAAATTCGACGAGATAACCGTTTCATATCTTAAACAGAAATTACCACCAAATTTTAATATGGTGCTGACTGACTGGGGTTTCAACATCTAAGTGGATTTAACTGAGAAGAATAGCGGACATAATTTGAAAAAAACTGTTTAGCTGGCAATTCCACTGTGCGACGTAAATTAGGTGCTTGCAATCTCTTGAGACAGCGTCATAGATAAATATTATTCCTGATATTAAAAAGCAATCTTAATGAGTATGTCAAAAGAAAACTCGATGAAATAGACTTCAATTACAGTAAATGAAAAATTACGTTCTCGTTGTATGCCTTCAAGTGAGGATGAATATAGGGGAAAAAAATTAAAATTTGGTTGTTTATCTTTATCAAGAGACAGCAGGGCGCCTTAAGTTCAATATTCATAAAACTCTGAAAACAGTATCAGAAATTCTAAGTTGAAAGAATATAAGGCTGAAGAAAAAAAAAGGAAAATGTGCAAACTGACTTAAGCGGCTCTTAATAATCGCTTTAGTTTATTTGAACTAATTGCCTTGATCGCCTCATTATGAATCATGATATCACATCGAATGCTGTGCACCTGTAGGGGGAAAGGGAAGAGAGAAATGTGTTAGCAATTATGCTTTTTTTTTTTTCAATCATTATAATTATTATCAAAGTACCTTTCAGTTCTCTTTTCACCAACACGTGCTGATGAAAAACTGAAGGCGTGAAAATCACGTAGTTGGTGATGTTTTCTACTTGTTCAACGAAGATTACCTAACCATTATAGGGCCAGCATAATATATCACCTGACCATCAATATCATCACTATCATTCAAGAGCGCAAATAAAACAGTAAAATTTGCGTTTACCTGGTGTATAGTTTATGCTTCTGAAGAAAAATGTTGTAATATGCTTTGCGCAATTTGGAATTGTGCACGTCATTATCAATTATTGTATTATATTGACAGTTAGTTCCATTGTATTCCACTTGAAGTTTTCCACGCATGGGAGATCATTTTCTAGAGCCATGTTCCATTCTATTCGGCAAAAAAAATCGAAGCGACTTTCCTTTAAAAATTGAATACGTACTTTCATACGAAAAGCTAAAAAAAAAAGTTTTAACTACTGGTCAGAGGGGGAAGATAATTTGCGGTAAAGGCCACCTTGATGTTAACGCGGTATATAGATATGAAAAATTAAATTGCGTCCGTCTTCCATATTATGATATTATTTTCGATACATTCAAGCATGTCATACGTCTGTAGCTCTTTGTTGTGTAAACCAACTGGTGTTCTTAGTGTCCTGGATTTATCTTGGCCGAAAACACTGTGAATTCCTCTTTGCTTATTTTTGTAGCAGAATGTCGTCGGCCGGTACTTTTTGCCATTAACCCAAATCAGCTTAATGCCTCTACATCTCTAAACGGCTTCCCAGCAAACGAAGGTTTGATAACCGAATATGATTTTGGCGCCTGGTGTGCCGCTTTGAAGGACCAAGAACAGTGGTTGGAAGTGGATCTTCAGGAAAACAAAGATGTCATGGCTCTTGGTTTACAAGGCAGATATGGACACTCATGGGTTGAAATGTTTTACGTTCAGTATAGCAATGATAGGAATAAATGGTACTGCTATGGGTCGGAAAATGGTCATAAGGTGAAAACTAAGTATTGTTGTTGAGGTACCCACCGTGTAAATTTCCCCGCCGTTAGGGACCAAATAAGCCGTTAAGACAGCTTTCCAATCAATGGCATGTCACTTCGCTAGCTATCATAAAAAATTGCTATTTGATATGCAAATCTCCGGGGACCTGACGTTAAGCTGGTGACCAAAAATGTTGGTTAGACGGTTTTCCAATCAATCAAAGTAAACGGAATGTGACTCTGCTCATCATCATAAAATAAAAGCCCCTGCAACATATGTAGCGTATTTACATGAATTATGCTCTACAAAAGCAAAGCTATTGCATTTTAATTTGCAGATATTTCAAGGAAATGAGAACAGTGAAACTGTGAAAATTTTTGTTCTTCACTTGGATTCGATTTTTGCACGCTACATTCGGATTAATCCACGTACCTGGAACAACAGCATTTGTCTACGAACTGAGATCTACGGATGCCCATACAACCCAGAAAAAGGTAAGAAGCCAACTGTATGATTGACTTGGTCATTAGGTAACGTAAAAAAGCAAAAACATGCGTCATCAACGAGAAGAGTTGATAATTTCTAAATAATCATCAATTTTTGTTTTCCTTTTAGTTTGTTTGTTTGCTGATTTTTTTAAATCTTACTTTAGCAGAAATTGTGCTGGCCTTCAGATACAACGAGTTATGCGTTAGACAGTCATCAAGATTGTCACGGTTAACTGCCAAAAACGTTGAAAGTCTTACGCGATTTGAACTAAAACTAATTACCCTAGCTCCTGAAATGTCTTACATCCCTCCTCTCCAGGACTATTTCAAAGTTAGATAATCGAGTCGCTCAATTTAAAATTCAAATTAAAATAATGTTACAGACTACGACACTCGTCGGCCTATGTATCAGGCCTGTGGACTGGATCATCCCACATCTCCACCAACGACAACACCTCCTCCTCATACTACTTCTGCAGAGCAGATAATAGGAGGTATGAAAATAATGATAATGATAATTAAGACAAAAACATGATGACAGGTCAAGAATAGACTTGTATGACGGAGTCTATTAAATACGTGTTTTCTTTCTCTCTCTCTCGCTTTCTTTTTTTTTTTACGTGGCTTTGGACGTCATGAGACACTACCAGTCCTTGTTAAATTTTTCACTAAAAGACCTGTTTAAGATCGGTTTTGATGCGCACTGATATTGGCATACGTCACACATCTGAAACGTGGTGAATTTAAGTAAATTTATTGTTAGGAGCATATCAATAGCTTCCTTAAATCATACTGCATACTGCAGCTGAAAAAAACTTTTGTGTTAAATAAATCATTCATTGCAAGAATAATCAGCAAATCGTTACACTGAGGCAATCGGACTAACGAAGCAGTCACTACCAACGATAAATATGAGTAACTACAATTGGGACTTCTTTTGGAGTGTTCGTTTCTTTCCTCATCCTAAGAGAAAGAGGCCTTAGGCAAGGGCGACAACATGCAAAAGGAGTCTCTTGAACAGCCGACATATTGCTTCCTGTATTTAAAGCAAAAATATAACGAGCCCTCGTCTGATTATAATGCATGGCAGGATTATAATGTATGTACATAGGATGCCTATGTACATTGTCAACGCAGGGTTATTTCTCCTCCAGATACTCCGGGTATTTTCGAAAATGTATATATTTTAAAAATAGATAGCTTGAGAGGGATTAGACGTATATTGGGATTTGATCCTGGCGTGACCGTTTTTTTTGCCTGACACTGTTTTGTTTTCTCCTCATAGACATACCAATATCGCAGTTTAGCATTATCCTTCAGGATGGTCCCATAGTCAAGACGTCGAAATTATTCCCTGTTCGTGTCGGACCACATGATGGTACAAAAGTCCAATATCGATGGGAACTTGAAGACGAAGAACTGGTCAAAACTCAGAAGGTTTTTTTCCATGTTTACAATCACCCTGGCGCTTATACCATACACGTTACAGCATATAACAGAAATAACACGGTTAATAGCAGCACCATTGTTATTGTGCAAGATGAAATTAAAGGCTTAAAGTGCGTCCAAAGCTCTATCGCAGTCGTTCCGATGGAAGAGACAGTAATTGAATGGGTTATTTTTAAAGGTAATATAATTTTTTTGTGAGTGTGTGTTTGCGTTCAAGTATAAATTACGCAGAATGACTCCTTCATTTTTTTGCTCTTTTTGTTTGTTTTATTTAATTTGTTGTCATGATAGAAATAGAAGATGAGGAAAATCTGTTTGTATACTGGCAATGTAAATGTTAACTGACGCTCTATGTTATCGTCAATTGTGACATCAAGGAAAAAGTGGGAAGAGTATTTGCATTACATTGAGCAGCACTAGAACTGATCTCTGACTTGCAGGTACAAATGTGACTTTCACAATTTCTCCTGGCGATGGCAGCGGTGAACACATTCTACAAACATTCACCGATGGTTTTTTCAAAAACTCATTTTCTCATCATTATGCACGTCCTGGTGTCTACAGTGTCTCCATTGGGGCTAAAAACGATGTCGAAGCTACTACGAAAACTGTGGAATGCACCGTCTCCGTAGAAAATCCGATTGTTAATCTGACTTTGGAAATACCAACAACTCGAATAAAAACTGGCTCTCAAGACGTATATATTGCAGTCGGTGAAAAAGTTACAATAATAGGTAGTCTAACTAGAGGGACTAGCGTCTTCTGTGACTTTAACTTTGGTGAAGAAGTCTTAACCGGAGAAGTTGACTCCCTCACTAAGACCTATATATATAGAAAACCAGGAATCTTCACTGCAAGTCTCAATTGCACGAACAGAGTTAGTAGTATGTACAAAGAGTCTTTAAAGAGGACCATTGTTCAAAAGGATGAACCGATTGATGACCTTCAGGTAATGGTCCCTGTCACGGTCAAAGGGCAACAGTCTGTGATTTCACTTTTGATGGCTTCCGGAACGGCTTTTGTTTGTAACTGGACCCTCGGTGACAACACAACTTTCCAGACAGATGTATCGGACATAGGTAAACAAGTCATACATCAATATGCTAAAGATGGACCTTTTGACGTAATGGTTAGTTGCAAAAATCGACACGGCATTGTTAGAACCCACAATGTTGCCTGGGTGCAAATACCTATCGCTAATTTAAGTTGTAATTCATTATACCGCTACATAATGGTATCACAAGAGACTCTTTTTAACATTTCTGTGCAATCAGGTTCTCAAGTGACCGTCGTAGCAGAATTTGAAAATGATCAAAGACAAAGTGTTGTTTTTAAGGAGAGTTTTCTAAACTGGAAATCATTTATTTTGAAACATCCCTTCTTATATTATGGGTCGTATTCTGTTACGGTAAAGGCGTCAAACCTCCTCGGAAGCCTCACCACCAATTGCACACCCATCGTTGTTGTGCAGAATCCTCTGGTTAACATAACGTTAACACTTGACAAGACGATTATTCAAGTATCAGAACCTGTTTCTTTTCAGCTTAAGACAACAGTTTCGGAAAATTTTCTACCCAACGATGCAGCCTGTTCATGGTTATTTGGCAATAATTCGTATAAAAATGGCATACCTTTGATATTTACGAAAGGAGAACACAGTCTACTTCATAGATATTCATCCCCAGGGGAGTTCATAACTAAAGTATCTTGTTCAAATGAAATCAGCAGAATCGAGCTCAACACGAAGGTCACGGTTCTCAAATTGATCGAGCCGTCCATGACAATTTGCCTAGACTGTAACCCCTCTCCAGACCTGACGAGGATTCCATCCAAGGCATATTTCGCTCTTGGCGACACAGTGACATTGTTAGTGTCATCTCAAAGCTTTGATAGGGCATATCACTGGAGAATCACAGAATATGGTGATCTTGCAACAACTGAACATCGTTTTCTTAAAGTAGTTTTGAACAAAACTGGAACATTTACGGCAAGTGTCCTTGTAGATAAATTGGTCGCCACAATGGCAGCATCAGTTAAATTCACTGTTCAAGAAAAGATTGACGGCATACTACTCCGGTCTAGTGGTTTCACGTGGCTGAGGAGTGCCACTCATTTTGAATTCGCCTTGCCAAAATTTGATCACGGAAGCTGCTTTAATCTCACCTTGAACGACTCATTAAACTCAGAGAAATCCCAGTGCTCATTAGAGAGAACAAGAAATTACCTTTTTTCGTTCAACCACACCTATCTTTATGAGGGCAATTATACGGTTTGTGTCATTGTTTTTAACAAAGTATCAGAGGAAAAACGTTGCTTGAAGGTTGAAGTCTCTAAACCAGTTTGTGAAATAGGAAACGTTTCGATATCGGAGGTAAGGAACGAAGAAACTAATGCATATAAAAATAGTTTGAAAGTTTTGAAATACAGAAGATCTGATAGCTTTGAGCTCAGAGGGCTTTTTATCAACCGCTGCTTTCTACCAACTTCAAAGGATATCAAGCTGCTATGGGTAATAAAGCAAACGACAACGAAAAGCGTTGAGGGAGAAGATACTGGTTCTGTAATAAAAATAAGTCCTCGTTCTTTGCAATACGGCAGTTATGAGTTTGAATTTGTAGTTGAGCTTGCAAGTGTCGATGTAATTAATCTCTACGGGAAAGTGGCAGGAAACTCCTCGCTAAATGTGGAAATCGTTCGTTCACCGTTGGTTGGCAAAATAAGCGGAGAAAAGAAACTAAATCTGAGCACGGCGGACACCCTAACGTTGGATGCATCATTTCATGACCCTGATCTACCACCATGGATGGACCAGCAGGGTATGGTCTTTAATTGGTATTGCAAGACACCGGTAGGTCCGCTTGCTCAGGCTGAACAGTTTGTTCACTGCTATGATGATGCGTTGAGGCCAGAAAACTTCATAAAAATTCTTTCTTACCCGGTTTTCACCACAAGATTGAACAGATACATTGAAAATAAATACTACATATTCACGGTTGTAGTTACCAAGGATGATCTCCAACCTTTGACAGACAATGTCACAGTGTTTGTTTCGCCTCCACCTCCCCCACCTCCTCCCCCGCCGCCAACAATGGAAATAAGGTACATTGTAGATAAATTTAAAGTTATAGTCACATACAAGCTTCAAAATATGTATTTTAAAGCTTAGGAAACTGGCTCATGCAAATGAAATCCATAGTTTCACCTAGATTTTTTGCACATGCTTTTTTTTTTTTTTTGTTTGATATTGAGAATGAGTCATGTAACCTTAAAAATATCCTTAGATAGTCAGTATGTTTTAAGTATGAAAACCGTATGCTTTCCCATCAACTATGTTTTAACTATTGTATTGTTTTTCCTTAAATTTATCAGGTGCTTTTATAGTGTTTGCCCTCATAAAGTTTCACCTTCAGTGAATCTCAGACTTCAGGCTGTTTGTGTATATGGATGTGGAATTTCCAATCTCTTTTATCAATGGCAGTTTTTCACTAAAAATGAAACTGAATGGAGCTTGTTGGAGTTTCCAAGCGAGTTAAAGGTGGAAACCGATAAAAACGACTTCACTGTTCCCTCGTACATTCTCGAAAATATTCTGGGGCAGGGAGACGAGGGTCTTGCTCAGGTTGAAGCGTGGAGGGAAGGCAGTAAAAAAGGTTTCACAAACAAGACTATAACAGTCAATGAGCCACCAATACCAGGAAACTGTTCATGTATTCCGTCGCTTGGCGAGGGCTACAAAACAAACTTTCAGGTCATATGTGACGGCTGGGTTGATCCAGACAAACCACTACGATATAGCTTTAGTTATGGCGAGGGTGATAACTCCCGGCCGGTTTTGACCTCAACAGAAAAGCCTAGCTCCTCAAAGCCTTTCAAGATTTATAAACAGCCTACGAATGGCGATACTTCAATTCCGGTAAAAATTACAATATCGGTTGAAGATTCACTCGGAATGAAGTCTGCCATGTCTATCTTCGCAAAGGTAAGACTGTGCAATTTATAAGTTGAGTAAATTCTATCCCTGTGGTAAATTCTGTTTTTTTTTTTCCTTTTTCATTACCATACTGAACCCAACGAATGAAGAAAATTGAATTAGAGACAAAACTTATGTAGTTAATCAATTTTAATATATGGCGAGGTCACTAGTCACGGGGTATATCCTATCTGATTGGTTAATTGCGATTGTGCACACGACGTTTTTCATATCTGCATCAAGCGCATCCTTCGGAATACTTTTTATAATGTGGATTCCAGTTTAGATGAATGATCCGTAATCTCTTCAAACTAGATAGCATGTTTACAGGCGTTTTCACTATAAATACGATGATACGGCAAATTTGCTTTCGTGCTTAGATAATACTTGCCTTCTATCATATTTCCAAGAAATATTTTATGCTTTTATTTATTCGTTCATGTAACTTTGCATTTAGGTAAAAAAGGTAGAGAAGGCACCAGTAGATCTTGGCAATATAATGAAGAATATAGACTCTGAAAGCACTCCTATAAACAACGAAGAGCAAGCTGGAGAGGAATTACAAGTCTTGGGCGACGCTCTTGCGCAACTCCAGCTCTCCAATCAGCAGAGTTCTGTTTCTAAGTCCGAGGCGTCAAATACAATCACAACAAGAAGACCAATAGTTAATCAAAATGTGGACAAAGAAGAAGGAGAGCAGACTAACCAAGGAAGAGAAAATGGAGACCCATCTCAGGAGGTGATACCCACCACTCCTCGACCGACAATGTCACCAGAGCAGATACAATACGCCACAGTAAGTTATACTGAATATGTCCTCTGTATGCTGATCAACAGCTAGTGCTCGCTGACGATTGTTTTTTTTTTTAAATTTTTTTTCATGAATGGGGAGTTGCACTGGCATAACAGTTAATCTGCAAGAAATTTGCAGGCCAGATCTCAATATTTGTGTTATGATCTCAGAAAAGACACTCTCATACTCCCCTAGGGCCTTTGTTAACCTAAGAACATTTGAGATCGAACAGTCTAAATTAAAATCTGAGCCTCCGTAGATTTGCAAGGTCTTTTTCGAAATATTAATTTATTTTGATGATATTTACTGTAATATTTGACTAATCTAGTGTACATTTTATTATTTATAAAATTTTGATTTAATATCTTTATTCCAGATCATTGAGAAGAGTATATCGAGGTTATACCTTGTAGCGAGCATTGTAGCCAAAAGTAATAAAACGACTGTGAATGAGTTTCTTGTCATCAGCGACACCCTTGAGACAGCCACTGCTAATTCAGATATGCTGACGTTAACTGCACGGGTAAAGACAAGTTTAGCTTTTAGCTATCGAGATATCTAATAGTTTACTTCAATGTTGCCTTTCAGACTTGAAGGTTTTGTTCATACGTGAAAGTGATCTATTATTTATTTATGCATGTGTATATATATATATAAGCAACATTATCCCATTTTACCCAGACATAAGCCGAAAAGCCATATGAATCATTACCACCAAACACAGCGCCTTGAATAGTTTAATGAAAGTTGGGGTAATCAGTACAGTTTCTTTTGAATCATCTTCCCCCATTAGTTAATTGGGGCAAGCTGATATAATTAATTCATTGGGATGTTAACATAACTGCAGATGCAAAATCTTGGGTGCTGTTCCTAGCGACTGACCAGAGATAGGTATTGACCTTAAAAAAAGTCGATCATTTATAGTGTTTGACATTTTTGAGAATTAACTTTCTATTTACCTTGACGACAGGCAGCCTCCATTGACCTTAACGACAGGCAGCCTCCCTGCTATCCTATTTCTCCCATCACAAAGGCAGAGATCGTGTACTTTTTATAAAAGAAATAGGCCTGTTTTTGTTACTTTAGCAGGTAGATTGTGTGTTTATGATTATTATTCGCTATCTTAGGACGAAAGCGCGAGAATGTTGAGCGAGATAACAGAAGCTGTTTTAAATAGACCTGATGCACCACTGTCTTTTCTCGAGAGGATGGCAGGTGCGATTTTAAGGAGTGCGGTGAACATGCTTAATAGCTTAGCAAAGGGTCTTTCCATAAGTCGTGATGGCACAGTACATGATTGTGATGACTTAGTAAAGGTAGGTAAAGTTTACAAACTAAATATATGAGGGTGGGGCCTAACATATTTAAATCAATTTTTGCAGGTTTCTAATTTGGAATCAGCATTTCTCAAATTCTATATGTTTAGATGATAGACGTTTCCAATAATAATTACAAAAAACATGAGGGTGGGTTACAGAATCTGTTAGATATCCAGCATAATATGAAGCTTCTAAAATAATTTATCCTTTGCTCTTCACATTCAGTCTAGACTTAATTGAAATAATTTTATAATTTTTGCAGCGACGATTGAGGCTGTTGGTGCCTTATTTTTGATATTTTTTGTGTGTTTTTTTTTTGTTTTCTTTTTGTTGCAATCAGTTTGATTTCTTTCTTGACTTGCTCTCTGCTTACAGCAATGCTTTATAAAGTGTTTGAATTAGATATGGTTTTATCTAAATACTGTTTTCTCTATGAAGGAAAGGAGCCGAAATGCTACCAAAGAAATCCTGAAAGCGATAAACAACATGTGCGAAGCTATCTTGAAGAGAAAAACTCCTGGTGACGGATACACTGTGATAAACACCACGGCGATAGAAGCGAAACTCCAAAAGACGCTAGTGAATTTTATCAATGATCTTAAGATCGTTCAGGATCTTGGGATGTTCACACTACCAAAAGATGAATTGTTTCCAGATACGAATCATACCAGTGGGAACACATTAGGTCTTCAGGTATGCTATGTAACCAGGCCATGTACGAAATTTTTTTAAGCTCAAAGAACTGATTTTGTTTAAATTGATATCTAGAACGATATCAACCAAACACTAGTACGCTCAGGATAATATGTAGTGTGGTACTGCGATACACAGGAAAAAAAAAAAGTTATTCTCGCTCTCTTTCGATTCCAATGCTATATCCATCATTATGCCTAAATTTCTAAAGTATTATTTATTTGTTCATTTATCTTAACTGTGACGAATTCTAATTCAAACCGTCTGCTATTACCGCGGATCAGTTGAGTTACATCGGGGAAGCTGGATCGAGAGATAATCAAAATAGGCGCTATTTACCTTCCAGTCTGATTTCTCAAAGTGTGCTCCCAGTTAATTTTGAATAAACTCTATGATTACCTTCTTTTGAGGAGGTATTGCTGTCGTACAATCAAATTGTATGGGTTCACAGATCGCGAAATCAGGCTGATGAGATTAACTTCATAAGAAAGCGAAATTCACAAACGCGTTGATTTGAATACTAGAAAATCTGGCTTTGGTAACTGAGTTGATAATGTAAATTGACTGACGTAAATAGTTTCTATCCTTGTTTGTTTGCTTACAGATGGTTTCTTTCGTGGATAATCCTTACAAAACTTGCGACAACGATAATATCACTTCGTCAGTGGTCGCTTTAGAACTGAAAGAATCTAATGGTAGTAACATGTTAATCAGCGGTCTAGAGAATGAAATCGATATTCGAATTCATCACAAATGGCGTGGCTTTGATAGCGATCGAGAAACCTTTGTTCTTCAATTGGACGAGGATTCTTCTCATTACCACACTTTCAACTACAGCTTTCCCCTTGTTGCGGTAGCGGTAGAGTTTTTGTCCAACAGTGAAAATGTGTCTCGTTGGGAAATCATGATAGCTTCTGGTAGAAGACCAACGGCTGAGATTAAACTGGTTTCGTGGTCTCTTAGAGATAAGGGAAGACATTTTTTCCTATTAGAGGCTAGTTCCTTCACAGAGATGGGGAAGTATTTCGTAAGGGTGAAAGCAACGCCTAAAACACCAATATCTCCCGCAGAAAAGAATGTCAGTGTCAATGTCTCGTACAGTCTTAAGATATCTGTCCTAAAATGCCTTTACTGGGATAAAAATATACAAGGCTGGAGTCATGATGGATGTAGGGTGAGTGTAATTTGCTGATCAAAAAGTCAGTTTTTGTTTGAAAAACTTTGTCTGCTCAATCATAAAAGTATTTTCTTTATGATATTTGTGGGTGCTCTAAGTGATAAGTGCAATAACCCCGCCCTCCCTCGTAAGAATAAGGAAACCTTTGGTCTCTGTGGTATTAACATTTTACAGCATATCTTACACTTTGTGTTATTTCTAGACGTCTTTCGAGTGCTGTAAAATAATGATTATTAGAGGAGTAATAAAAAAAACTTATAGCTTTCCTCGAGTCTCGTTGAAAAAGAAAATTAAACGCGGTTGTTTTACCTTTTAGGTTGGGCCCAAGACCACGTCAAGGGAAATTCAATGCCTTTGTAACCATCTCACGTCGTTTGCAGCTCAAGTGGTAGTTGAACCAAATGTTATTGAATTTGAAAAAGCCTTAAAAGGATTTGTTGAACTCACTGAGAACCATTTGGTTTTCAGTGTCGTTCTCTCTATCTTGGGCGTCTATGTTATCCTGTTGATTTGGGCAAGAAGACTCGATATTCGGAATGCAAAGAAGGTACATGGAAATTTTAGCTTCCTAATCCTCATCATTTAGAGTGGTTCCCATCTAACTATTTAAACTATTCCTACCCAATTTTATTCTTTCTGTTTCTCTTTTCCTTGGCGTCACTTTATTTTTTGTGAATTTTTGTGACCAATAACCTTCCCCATCTAAGAACTCTCAGGTAAAAGAGAATTCAATTAGATAAATTCATTAAATGGCCGTTACTTAAGGCAATCCTTTGAATGAACTGATTGAAGCCAAGTGTCCCCTTTTTATTTTATTGTTTTTGCTTGCATTTGATTTGTTTGCTGGATATTCTGATGTTTATGAACTTTCAAATTCGTTGGTAGATGTTATGTGATGCCATGTTATTTTATTTCAGGTGGAGACTATTCCTTTGGCAGATAACGACCCATCAGATCGCTACAAATACGAGATTTTAGTTTTAACAGGTATGAAGAAGGAAGCTGGAACCACAGCTGACGTCTTTTGCGATTTAATTGGACTTGACGCTGAGAGCGGTCCGCGCCAACTTAAAGATTCTAACCAGGCACGTTTCCAACGATCAGGAATGGATTCTTTTTTTCTCACCTCTTCTGAACATTTGGGAGACCTAATTAAATTGAAAATTTGGCACAATAATTTAGGATGCAGCCCATCTTGGTATCTAAAGCAAATAATTGTACGTGATCTGAAGAGTGATGGTGTGTTTGTGTTCATGTGCAATCGGTGGCTCGCCGTCGAATTTGACGATGGAGAAGTCCTGCGGACTTTGCCATCTGCAAAGGAAGATGAACTTAAATCTTTTAATCATCTATTCTATAATGTTACACAAAGGGATATCACAGATAACCACTTGTGGTTTTCGGTGTTTATGAGACCAAATCTGAGCACCTTCACGACTGTTCAGCGCCTATCATGTTGTTTGGCTCTTCTCTACTGCACCATGCTTGCCAATGCTATGTTTTATCAACTCGGTGAGGAGTCAAACCAATCAGTAACGCTTCAGTTAGGACCTATCACCCTCTCTGTGCAACATCTTTACATCGGCATGATTAGCGGCCTAATAGTTTTTCCGATAAACATCGTTATTGCCAGCATCTTTAGAAGCATAGAGCCAGCAGTTTTTAAAGGAAAGAAGGGAATGGCATCACAAGGAAAAAATACTAAAAGAAAAAAACGTGCACAACGATATCAGGGTGATTTTAAAGACATAGTTGAATGGTATCGAAGCCAGGATACAGAAGAAGAACTGAACGGTGAAGGCCCCGAATCAATTACTGTGGGATTGCCACCCGTCGAGACGGTTGATATCGGGGAAAAGACTGCAGCCTGGTTGAATAGGAACGTTAACAGTTGTGACAGTCATAGCTCTCTTGCTGAACTGGAGGAAGCCGATTGGCTAGAGAATGATGTGAGTTTTGAAGCATCCGAGGACTGCAATTTTCAGGTACAGTTCAATGAGAAGCCCGGAGGATCACTCAAAAGAAAGAAGTCCCGAAAACTGCCTCACTGGTGTGTATACATTGCCTGGTTTGGAGTTTTCGCCGTATCATTTGTGTCTTCTTTCTTCGTTGTTTTGTATGGTTTTCAGTTTGGCCGAGAAAAATCAGCTCAGTGGCTTGCTTCCCTTCTGGTTTCTCTATTCCAGGACATCTTCATAAGCCAGCCGATCAAAGTTTTATTCGTCGCTTTGATTATTGCTCTTCTGATAAAAAAGCCCATAGAGACAACCGAGAAATATAGGCAAGATGGTGAGGACACGGAAGAGGACGAAGAAGAACTGGGTGTTAGTAACTTCGAGGAAGGACCGCCTGAGTATAGAAAGTTTATGTTCAATAGATACGATCAGCAAAGTTTCATATCTTTGGAACCTCCAAACGTTGATGAGCTCAACAACGCTAGAGAAAAGAAGAAAAGAGAAATACGAATGTTTCAGATACTGCGGGAAATAATTCTCTACGTCCTCTTTTTGCTTGCCTTGTTTTCGATAAGCTTCGGTCAACGTGATCCAAAAGCTTATCTCATTGCCAAGCTAATTGAGGATACATATCTAGGAGGAGTTTATACGGGCCAGCAACTGTATGAGGTAAGATGGAGGCTGGGTGGAAAAATTTATTGGCATTGTTATTTAACCTTAGGATCATATTATCAACTCTATGGGCATGTGCATGCATTTTATTCATAGAGATTTAAGGACGGCTTAAGAGGTGTTGGCTTGCTCTGAACGCAGCCCGGAATTCAGATAATCTGTCGAGAAAGCTGTTTTAGTCTAAGCGTGCAGGCTTACTAAGCTTTCGTGGGATGCGGTCGTGTGCGTCTGTGTCCCTCCATTGGTAGCTATCGGCATTTGCTGGGACCTGTTACAGACCTCTTAAAAATGTTAAACTTGCCTCTCATCGATGAAAAATGACTAAAAATAAAGGTGTTGTCAATTGATTCACCTTTATCGTCTGTCATAAATGTTTTGAAACTGTGTATTTTTAATCGAGTCAGATGAAGAGAGATATCGGATGGGTGTTTTGCAATTTGGTTCCCAAATACTTAAAAAAATTCTGGATCAGTATACATGTTTATGTTAGCTTTTTTCACGATTTTCAACCTTGTGATCAATGAGATGCATATGTAACGCAGATGGAGCATTACTCAAAGGTGACGAGTTCCATCGAGGAAACTGATGTACCATTCCTGTTTCAGACCGATGGAATTGATAACTATTGGACATGGCTAGAAGGGACAGTCCTACCAAGTATTTCTTCATCAAACAGAGACTGGGCAGCAGGCTGCCATCCTTTACAGGAGTATACAATCGACTGCAATTCGCGCCTAGTTGGCGGAGCAAGAGTTCGACAGCTCAGAATTTCTCCAGGTATTTTTATAACTGACGTAACATCACAGAGTCAAAATACAAGTGTTCGTAGAACATGTAGATATATGTTAGTGGCTTGGATAGCAACATACAAAATTACGCGGAGAGAGGCAACTTAAATATGTGATATAAACTCGGCGCATTTTATTTTATACATCTGAGGCCATCCTAAGTTTTAATTTTTAATTTTTTTCCAGGAAGCTGTCAAGTACCTGGACCTTTGAGAGGGAAAATTTCTACTTGCAATGAATTTTATTCTCTCTTCAAGGAAGACGAAGACAACTACTTACCTGGTTGGCAAATAGCAAATGTAACGGCTGAAGCGAACACGACGTCTAATGCGACTATATCACCATGGACATACCAGACAAGCAATGAGCTTGGAAGTATACCCTTTCTGGGACTTGTAGGCACATACAGTGGCGGAGGTTATGCGTTTGATCTGTCGTCTGCTAACGCAACAGAGGCTTACTTAAATTATCTAAAACAAAACTCGTGGATTGATTACAGAACCCGTGCTGTCTTTGTCGAGGTTGCTATTTACAGTGCTCAAGTTAACCTGTTTGGTGTTGCGACCTTTCTAACTGAATGGATGCCAACCAATGGCATTGTGTTTTTCAATAATATCAAAGTTGCACGCCTGTATCAGCATGAAAATGACTTGCAGCTCGTAATGCTTGTTTGTGAAATTTTTCTCGCCGTTTTCGTTCTTGCGTTTATGTATATCGAATTGAAGAAAATTTTTAGACTTCGAAGGAGCTACCTCAAAGATCCTTGGAACTGGCTTGAAATCACGCAGATATTTCTTATTTTGACTTGTGCTGGTGCCCTCTTGCAGAGAACAAATTATACAAACCAGGCGATAGAGAGGATGAACGCTGAACCTGACAAGTTTGTTAGCTTTATACAGACAATAACTTGGGATGAGATTTTTGGATACTTATTAGCGTTTCTGGTGTTCTTCGCTAACTTGAAACTCCTTAAACTTATTAGATTCAACCATCGTATTTACTTGTTTACAAAGACAATCTCTAACGCCGCAGGACCGTTAATGTCTTTTATGATCGTCTTCACCGTTTTCTATATTGCTTATTGTGTGCTGTTTTACTCACTCTTTGGAAGTATACTTCCTGAGTACAGCTCACTTCTGGTGACAATTGAAACATTATTTAATACCGTCATGGGAGCCTTTGATTTTGAGATCATTAGAGAGAACAATCGGACTTTAGGACCTATCATTTTTTTTTCGTTTATGATGATTATGGTTATGATCTTACTCAACGTCTTCTTAACTATACTGATGGACTCTTTTGCCGAAGTCCAAGAAGATGAGCTCCTAGTGTCAGAGGACGCTGTAGTGGTGGATATGATGATAAAACGCTTCAAATGCTATTTTTTGAGAACAGACAAAGTGGACATCTTACCAGAGAATGACACTTTGTCAAGCACTAATTTTGAATCGGAAACCTATAACAACTCGCATTGCGACAGTGATTCTAAGTGCCCAGAAATTCAAGAAGAGAAGTGCGAAGATGAATACTATTTGGACAAAGCACACAGCGGTGGAGATAGCGAACTTGACATTCCACTGGGAGCTTTTCGGGCCGCAGAAGCTTCGTTCTCGTCGATTGAGAAAACAGGTAATGCAAGACAAGAAAACCTCAGGGAGCCAGAGCATTCCTCCAGCTGGTCTTCATTTACATCTCTAGCCAAAGACCGGGTTGAAACGGAGACTGATCCCTATGTAACCTCACCTAGTCAGGATGAATCTGGAAAAAGTTTAGAAGATGATGACACCAGCGGTGTATGTTCTGAATCCTATGGACATCCGACGGATTCAAGACGGTCATCGATGGCGTCCAATATGGAGCGAGATGAGCTCGACGAGAAATTTAATGAGGAGTATTCATCATCTATGGAATGTTCCCCACGAGGCAGCCATCACTCTAAATCCACAGAAATGTTAACTGTTCCAAAAAGCAGGGGAAGCTCGAGCTCTGGGTATTGTTCCTCTTTCGTGGCTACAGAAGATTCTGACGGTAGAACTGAAGTATCAGGAGAGTCTCAGTTATCTCATTATTATGACATGATTGAAAAAGCGCTTGATAGCTCAAATTATGACCAGGAGTCACTGGTAGGAACCGAAGAGGGAGATGTTTCTCAGCAAAAAGTTTGCTATTACTACAAGCTCTTAGAGGGCGCCACAAGATACCAAGACTACATAAACGGCGACGAGACAAAAGCTCTTGAAAAATTTGATTTTAGTGATTATCAAATTTACAGGGACAATTTTGAAGGCCACTCTACTCAAGATTGCGTGAAGGATACCGATACTGACGTAGAGTCAAAACTTACTGATCTTCTAGGATTTTTCGCTAGTATAGCATTGAGTGACTTACTGGAAGACCAAGTATATGAAAAACTTCTTGTGGAATACGTCACTTCTCTTAATGAAGTTTGGTTTGAACCAAAGCATGAAACTTTTGATCGACAACTTTTGAAACGCTTTGATAAAAAGGCAAAGTGGATGTATACACGGCATATGTTCACTGAAACGTAAAAACATACCGGCGCGTGTGTGGCATGTGCACCGCCTAAGCCTTAACTAGCGATGCAGTTGTCACAAAAACCACACTGGAAATCTTTCATTGAAGAGCAATCAACTTTTAACAAACATTCCACAACGTAGCCATTTTCTTAAGTATGCCATAGCAGTGATGAAACGTATTTTCCTTTCGGGGTCATTTCCTTGACCAATACCTAAGTCAATGGCGGTACAGCACTTTCAAAAGCTTCATCAAAGTGAAACTCATCTAAGCTCATAGACTTATGTAGATTCGAGTACCGCCGCGCTCAAGCAGAATTTGATAGGTGACAATGCACATAACTGAGTCATGGATATCAAACAACAACATATATTCAAATGACAAAAGTTTTATTTCTAATTTCATGATAACATTAAGAAATGAAAATGACGACGGCTTTTATAGCCCAATCTCTCTCTTTGAGTGGAGTTTATCATTAATTTTAGTGACAGATCATATTTACATTTTAGAATTAAATTTTCTATGAAAGAAATATTTCCCTGTCGCATAGTTCATCTAACACGCTCGGAAGCTCATCGCCCGTACACTTTTTTTTAATGGTTGTTATTCTATAAACTTCACCATTGTTTCGAGAAGTTCTTCCCACACGGTGACACTGATGCGTGATGAAAATTAGCCATAAGTCTATAGTTAATAGGTTCTAGAGAAATACGATTAGTCATTGTCTAAAATAAAGTGGAATTACAATGATTTTCACTGAAATGCAGCCAAGGAAATCTGCTTCTTAATTGTAGTTCATAGTAGTATGGCTGAAACATCACAATAGGCGGCTTCACCAAAATAAGAAGTCAAGCCAGCATAAATTTTATCTTGTTATAGTGCACATCTGGCGAACTAAATCCTCTCGTCACCTTAAATAATTCCCTTAGGCTTTTATTTCTGTTGTTTATAATGCCAATTTACATAGGAATTATAGGTTAAGTCAAGCCTCAGACAAGAATATTATTCATTATACTGCACGTCTGGTGAACTACATCCTCTCGGCACCTTTAAATAATTCACTTAGGCTTTTATTTCTGTTGTTTATGATGCCAATTTACATAGGAATTATAGGTCAAGCCAAGCCTCAGAGAAGAATATTATTCATTATGGTGCACGTCTGGCGAACTACATCCTCTCGGCACCTTTAAATAATTCACTTAGGCTTTTATTTCTGTTGTTTATGATGCCAATTTTTATAGGAATTATAGGTTACACCAAGCCTCAGAGAAGAATGTTATCCGATAAGGCACAAATGACAAATGAAATTCGGGTTCGCGGAAGGTGGATGCCCAATCACTTTAAGTTGTTCATCGGGATCCATTCATAGCCAGGATGAATAAAATTATCAACAAATCAGTTATTAGAGCCTGATCATAGTTTCTATTCTATCTTACCGTGAAATGTATCCATTACAACAATATCTCGCGAATAAACATTTTTCGCTGGTATTTAGTGATAGTTAAACTCGCTCAACGAGTGGATGGGAGCCTTTCATTGGGCGAATTTCACCACGTCTTGTTCGAGAAAAGTAGGCTTTTATATCTGTGGTGGGAAAATCAAGTAGGCTTAAGGTGATCTGTTGCGTGAAAATGATAGAATTACGAGAACCATTCGACTGCAATATATCTGTTTCACCTAGTAAGCAAGCAAGCGAGCGGCAGCCGGACCGTCCAGGTTCAACGTCAATGTTACGAGATCAACAATCTCAAAAACAATTTGGTCGCAACTGGTGGGAGAAAAACCATTATTGTCTTACTGTTGGGAGTTCTTGAAGTCCTCTGAAACTTCCTTCAGGCTACGCTTGTTTCAGTTGATCACTGTCGTGAAAACAATTTCCATTCCTGAATTACTGAATTACCATTATCTTTGTTTTTATTACTTAGAAATTATGCCAAAGATGATTAAAACATGGTGTTCAAAGTTCTTTAATGCGCCTCGCGATTTTTTTTCAGATTATTGAATTTGTGGCGGCGCTGAAATGGTTAATTTTTAAGGGTGGGCGCGTCTCCCTCGTCAGCAAAACTGTAATAGGGTCGCAAGTGAAAATGATGAAAGAACATTTGGATTTTTGTGTACTGGAAATAGACTTAAAAAAATTCACTTTTACCACTGTTGAAGCAACAACGGAAGTTTTGTTGATTAAGCAGAAGAAAGGGGCTTCCTATAACTTTCCTTCCCATGACTTAACGTGTTGTGGTCTGCTATTTCGCCGTTTCCCATCCAAATCCATATACGGTTAAAATGAACTTAAGCCGCTGTAGGCTAATTTTGATAACTTTAAAACAGAACTAAATCATAACTTTTACCTATAGTAATAGAGAAAGTTTCGAAACCATATGTTGAAAATATGGCACGTTAAAAATATTCAACGTGCGATCACAACCACGCTACTATATCAGAGCTGAATGTCTGACCTGTTTGCGGTATCTTTGAATTTCCCTTCAAAGAAATTATTTCCCTGTCACATGGATAATTGATGCTTAAGATTCCAACACGCAACGTTTATATCAACGGAGACTATTTATAGGAAAATCTCTTTCATCAAATTTAATTATAGACTGTGATGGGGACGAAAACCCTCCGACATGATCAATTATAACCAAATGGCTGAAACGAGTTAAAAAGGGCCGATTGGCGCCATTAGGCTTTTGTATATCATGTTGCCTTAGAACATGAACAGTTGTGGTTTAGTTAATGAGTTGTATTTATAGAAAAAGGTTATTTTTACCAGCAAAAAAATCAAAGCAATGGGCATTCTAAACCGACAAAAGATGAGATGCACGACAAGATTACCCTCAGAATGCTCTCAAAAATGCGAAAGTTTAACTGAAAGAGTATTAAATCTCATATCCTCATCATATCGACTATGCAGGAGTTCATTTATACTGTTATGATCTAGCCCTTTCAAGCTAAGATTGATTGATTAGTTGAGAGTGATTGTATTAATGTCAAACAGAGACTGTAAGCTTCTTAATGCCATATAGCAGAATTGTTCACATCATCCTATGGCAAATGAAGTTTGGACTTCCGAGACGAGGAAGCCCAATCGCTAATAGCTTTGTATCTTTGCATCTCGATTAGAGCTGTGTTCAACCAAGCTTTCATCTAGTGATTTGACTAAATGAATTTAAGTAATACATAGCGTTTGATCACCTACCGATAAGTCATAATGTTCCCTAATTATACCGTACAAATGATGCTACATTTAATGTCGTTGCTTGTACCTTTAGTTGCACGACAATATTCAGATTTACCAACGACGACACGTGTAGAAGTATTACTAATAAAAAAAATTCTTCTTTCAGATCATTCAACATACAAACCCTCACACAGACCCATCTCGTTTTAACATTTATCTTTATGTATGAATGAAGCGATTTCTACGTGTTTCTTTCAATGAAACCTTAGGTATGAACTTCGCCGAGCTGTGCCAAGAACTTTACGTGATAAAAGCTAACCTCATGTCTGAAACGAGTTAAAAAGAATTAATTTTGGTTCTACTCGGTTAGCTACCGCCAAGTTTCGCTTATTTGCATGACGTGTTTATTTTTACAAGCATACCTTGAGGCGTACACTCTCAGCTTTTTCGGGAGGAACTTGACAAGATTGCATAAAGACCATATGCTGGAGGTTTAACTATAACAATAGCTATCTCATGGCTATGTTGAGGATTTTCAAGCCATTATCATTTCGCTTATTCAAGGAGTAAAGTTTCCAAACAGAATACATCATTGACTAAATGTTTTAAATTGCTTGGCTGAATTTATAAATCTAGATGATTAGTAATTACTAAATTATATGCCGTGGCAGTGTCTGTTATATCTTTGTACATATTGTGTAATATGATTCTAACGATTTTCAATTTTAGAAAGTAGGCCATCAACATATATTCCCGCATAGATAAGATAATAAAACTAGAACCCATGAACTAATGAGAAAGATTCGTCATAGATTCAATCCCTCTCTACTGACTGCGTTGTGACAACAGCGAAAGTCAAGTGACCCAGTGGGCATGAAATTGTGGCTTGCTATTATTAGTGACATGAAGGGGTTTATCGCGAGTGCCTTTGTTTCGTTTTTTTTTTTTTTTTTCTTAATGCACAGACAGTTTCGAGACCACATTACGCAAAGATGACAAATTTTCCACACTTGTAAGGCTTAAGTCTTTCGGCCAATTCATAAGAGAGAAATCTTTGAAATAACCGTAACGCGCACAACTTTCAAAACTATTCAAAAATATGATTAGAATTAATTGTGTGAACCTAAAAACAAAGTTAATAATGAGTTAAGTCTCCAATTGGGCTCCCCTATTTTATTTTATAACGCCGCAGGACCGCTGTCTTTTATGATCGTCTTCGCCGTCTTCCATACAGTAGAAACTCGATTTAACGAACCTGTGTTATACTGATTTAACGTCCTCGGTATATCGAACGATACTCTTCAGCCCGACCAAAGTTACTGTAAAATGTGTGGGAAAGAACCTCGATATAACGAAATCCTCTTTGTAACGAACAAATTTCAACACGTGACAAAAGACAAATTCGAAAAAGATCAACAAGAATTAAAATCCTTCAATATGTAACAATAGAACAGCTTCACAACTAACAGCTAATTATAGATGCCAACACTGTCACTATCGACACATCTACAGACTCGGTGTACCCTCTTTGTCTCTTAATAGTTCTACTAACTTCTTTATTTTTGAAGGCTTCTTGTGGTAAAAGTTGTAAGAGGCAGGAATTTCCAGTCCAATTGCTATAGGTATGTACAGCCCTGTACAGTGCACTGTGGCTTCATAAAGACATTGAAGCCCAAGTGTTATTTACAGTAATCATTCCGATCCCAAAATGCTAGGTAGGGCGACGTCACCCCCCCCCCCCCCCCCCACCCAAAAAAAAAAAATTAAATAAAGTAATATAAAATATGAACAAAAATAAAACAAAACAGCAACTGTTAACCATCTCTCGATATAACAAATATTTTGGTCGTTTTTCTGCAAATTCGTTAAATGGAGGTTTTCGATATAACTTATCTATTTCCTAAGTCCCTTGGCGCTTGTTTAAATCGAGGTTCCACTGTTCACTTCACCAGAGATTGTGTGAGCTAGTGAGCCGCTTGCCGCAAGTGATACATGGGATTCTCCTATGCTCTGAAAGAATTAAGGCGATTTACACAGATCGAGCAGAAATAACGGAGGAGTCGATGTGTGAGCGAGCCAGGGAGTGATGACCTACAGATGGCCAATAGATAAGGTTGGCTCGGAAAAATCCAGCTGCACAAATGCATGTAAACATGGTGGTCTATTTAATGGAAAAATTGAACCAACTTCTCCACAAAAAGCGTCTACTACATGAGGGGAAGTTTTCATTCGCTTTTATCACAGTTACAGGGAAAAGTTACAACCCTGGTTTTAAAATAACCCTGGTTTCAAATAACTGCGGCATAATTTGGAAAGCGATCTAAGACAAATCTGTGTAGAAAATACACACATGCGTACAAGAGTCTGAATGTTCTAAGAGGAATTCCATCGAAGTTCTGACCCACAGAGAATGTCACCAACCCAACGGAAAGCACCATCGGCCTTTGCGACTATTCCACCGCATACATTTGTGTGCTGCCATTTTTCCTTCAGTTTTTTCTTGTCCCGCTCCAGTTAAGTTTCTAGGATGGAAATCAATAAAAATGTTAACGTGTATTACTTGAAATAAAAAATTATTAAAATACCTGTATGCCTATATGTAATACAGTATAAAAGAGCTCCAGATTTTCGGCCTCACAATTTACATGAGAACATCACGCACTTCTGATTGGCTGAAAACTAGAACAAAGTTGTAACATGAATGTAAAGTTGTAACACGAGTGCAAATTACAAACCGCGTGCGCGCGCTGTCAAAATTTCGTCTGT